CTCTCAAGAGGGCACCCCAGCAACTCTAGATGCAGCACAGACCCCCACTGGGTTCTTTCGCCCCTGCTCTTACTCCCCAACCACTAGCCTCGCAACTGAACTGTTAACATACTCAGCCTTGGGTAATTCATTCTGGCAAGCCTCAGTCTGTCCTTCATCCCTTTGAAATGGGCCATCCTTATCCTATAGTCACTGTATCTAGCACAGAACAGAAGCTCAAACAACATTGGTTTACCTGAATTCTAATTCAGCTGGAGTTTGCCAGCCTAGAACAAAAGCGCCAACTTTACCCCTTACATGTTGTGGGGTTTGAGAAAGTGGCCTAACCTGTCTGAGACTCAAATGCCTTCTCTACGAAATGAAGAAAATGTTACCTACCATGCATGATCACAGTAAGGATTAGAGATGATAAATGTAAAGGGAGACCTGCTCACTACCAAGCAGATGTTCAATAAAGTACCCTTGTGACAGGGCCTCTTGCAGCCACCTTCTCCACGCCAGCTCCTCAGCTGCCATCCCATGTCCTCTAAAGATGACACAAGCCTCTTAGCTGAGCTCCCTCTGGTCCCTCCCTGTTGCAAAACTGAAATCCCTCCCCCCCCACCTCCCGCCTTCCATCTCATCCATCTTGCACACCCTTGCCAGATTCATTTTCTTACAACCCTGATTTCAGTGCATCACTCCTCCACTTACCAAATTATTCCGCATTGCCTATAGGATCAGGGCCAAACCCCTTTGCCTGACCTTCAAGACTTGCTCTCTCTGTATGCGCCCTCCAGGTTTCCTAGCCTCACTCCTCTGTCCCTTAGCCTCCAGCCCCCAATACATAGGGGCTTCTCCAGTCTGGGAGATGTAGTCCCCCAGACACCACCTCCCCCAAGATATGGGCTTTCCTGGCGAGTCTTCTTGGTGCCCCCGCTTTCTCCCCAGGCTGCTGAGGTTCACTGCCCAGCTTGCCGGGAACAACAGGGACTCTTAGGGCCACCTACTTGCCACTCCCCTCTCATGCTCCCAAACCTCCTTAGAGAGGACTGTATCTGAGGTGGATGCCATGTCTGCATAGTAAGGCTTCCACTGTCTCAGTACTAACTCAGCAGGGTGAGATCGGAGACAGGTGCCACCCCCCCCCCAACTCCCAACCCCAGTTCAGATGAAGAACAAGAGAGGAGTCAACCCCAGGGAAACAGGTGTAATGAGGCAGCAGACGGAAACCTGCAGAGGAGAAGCTAGGCCAAGTGAGCAATGGAGAACTCTGAGTTTCCCATGTACCCTCTCCCATATACAAACCATAACCTATGTGAGAGGCCAGCTAAGGAAACAGAGGCCTGGAAGGGGATCAGGATCAGTGTGCTTAGAGGAAGAAGCCTTGAATTGGGGTCCAGGAGCTTCATACTCTTGTGTAAACTTGGGCAAATCCCACTCCCCAACCTCCACAAGGCTGAAGGGAAGTTGACATTGTACAACTCCCCTCTAGAGATAGCCTACCCCCACCAGTTCTACTTCCGGATCCAAAAGTGGCCTCTTACCCGCCCAATTTATGGCATGCTGCTAATCCTCTTCTAACACCCCGCTGTAAAACCCTTTCTAAAACTCCAATTTATTGTGGCATATTGCACATACACACACACACAAAAAATCAAAACCTCCCAATTCCCTATTCTTAGATGGCCCGTTCTCCCATGATCAGATCCCCACTCCACAGCCTGGCATTTGGGAAACCCCACCACTGGGCACCAGTCTCCTCTTTACCTTAGAGTCATACAATCTCAACCAGAAAAGACTCAGTCACCTCACGCTTCCTACCTGCTGGCCACGCCCCTCCCATTTCTAATGTTGTGCATACCACTACCCTTTGCCTAGCCAAACCCTTCTACTTTCTGGAAGCTTCCCAGGATGATCCCCTTGTATATATAGATCTCCCATCTCTCTCCACAAATTGTGTCTAGGCTCAACCAAAGGTATGTGTAGTCTGGGGTCTGGGCAGTCCAGATCCTGAGCTTGCTGTTGAAGGGAAACATCATGATTTATTTTTTTCTTGTAGTTGCAACTCATCCCTTCTCCATTCTCATTAGGCACACTCAGTAAATACCTGAGCCTTGAGTATCATTTCTCTAATCACTTTCACATGGATCAGAACAAGTACCAGTTAAAGAGGTAAAGGTCTTCTTAAAAGTTCTCCAAAGACAGCAAGTCCTTCTGGAGCATTCGTTAACTGCTACGCATTGCTAGGCTTTGAGGGGGTTGTGGCTGAGTTCCAGGTTTCATTTACCCCTCTGAGGGGTTCCAAGAAAACCCAGACATCCATGATATCAGGGAGACAAAGTAGAGGCAGGGAAACTTAATTATAGTTTGCCTCCTATTATAATTTAAGCCCAAAAATGCCCAACGGACTCAGGCAGCCGGGAGGAGTTCTGAGAAAGAAGAGGTCATCATGGGTTGCAAGAGACAGGCAGGAAAGGCACTGAGAAGGTGCGCCCAGAGCTGGGGCCATAGAGGAAAGAGAATTTGGACAGCGTAGGGTGAGTGGGTTTGGATGTAGGGAGGGAAGTTATACAGGACAGATATGTTAGCCGGTTGTTAATTTGAGGTAGGGCAGAGGGCAGGCCTAGCCCTGGGCCGGAGATGGCAGGCTGCAAGTAGGGGGTTTATGTTGGTACTGGTCGTGGTGGAAGGAGGTGAGTGTAGTATGTTATCTGCAGTACTTGCTGATGTCACAAAGGTCCCAGCTAGCCTTTCTTCCAAGTGAGGGATTTACTGGGTCTCATTGTCTCCTCTCAAAGGGTTCCCCACCCTCAGAGGTTGGTCAAAGGTCCAAAAGGGCCTGCCAAGCTCCTAGGTCGCTCCCTCTCTCCCGTTCCTCAGAAAGGCCTAGAGTCCACTGCCAGAGGCACACCGCTTTGCAGTGACTGGGCGGTGGGCGGGGCCGAATGAGGGGCGCCGCACTGGGGGAGGGGGCTCTGCTGGAATCCCCAGGGGTGGGGCGGGTATTCCAACAGCGCAGTGCCCTCCACCCTGCCCATACCCACGCGGATGCAGCAGGCAGGCAGAGCCGCAGAGGGAGGTGTTTGTGTGCGGGACAAGGCTCGCCTTGACCCCGCGGCCCACGCCAAGAAAAGCCTGGCCAAAAGGAGGCCGGCTCTGCGGGGCCAGTCCAGCTGCTGCCTGGGCGCCTGGTCTGTGGCGCGACTGGTGGGCACAGCCCCTCTTGGCCGGGGAGCCTAGGCAAAGTCGGGCGGTCACCAGTGTCAGAGGTGTCTGCAGCAGACAATGACAGCGGCTCGGCGGGCTGGGTATTTTAAGTAACAGCGAAGTTGGAGGGTTTGGCTGCTTCTTTAGCTCTCAAACACACTCGGACGGTGCTTTCCCTACTACAATAATTGTTCCCTCGGCCTCTGGCACAGAAACCCGCTCACAGCACCGTGCTTATCGCTATTTTTAAACGGCAGGCTGGATAGAAAAACGCGGCCAGTGCCCTCTGAGGGGTGAGGAGGAGAGGCGAGGGGGATAGACAAAGCGGCCTTGCAGCTCTAACCCAAGGTCTAGCTTGAGCGGCAGCTCTAATCCAAGGTCCAGGGAAAGCCCCCTTGCCAGTCCGCCTGTCCGCGGGGGCGGGCGCCAGATGTGCCTGGAGGCCCAGGAGCAGGGGGCGCGGCTGGTTGGGGCCACATGGCCGAGCTTCTGAAGGGAAGTGGGGGGCCCACAGGCCCAACTGAGCTCCCTCAGGGAGGAGGCGAACAGTGTAGATACCCCAATCCACGCCAAAGTCAGTATCCGTCGGACCTAGGCCAGCGCGCAGGCTTCCTCTGCAGAGGGGAGAAGCAGGAGATGCGCAGGGGAGGGGAGGGGCGGCCGCCGGGACGCTGGGGTGAGCGATACCCGCGTAACACAGCTGTTCCAGCTAATGTGCTACAACAAAGCTGCAGAGATCCCGGCCTACAAATGCACCGCTGGGGGTGCTGGCTGGCTGCTCCCCTCCTGGGACCGCGCGGCAGCACGTGTGGGCCCCATCCCCGCCTCCCCAAGAACCCGGAGGCATGGCCCGGACTAGCCAGCCCGCCTACCCGCCCTCTTCCCCCACACCCCAGACTCGGTGGCCCGCGCCCAAGGGACTCTGCTCTGGCCCTCACTGGACAGTCCTCAAAGCGGGTTCCAAAGGAGAGCGGAGAGCGGCCCGGACGCCGACGGGCCCAGTCCTAGAGCCCCTTTCCAAGCGGCCAGAGCGGAGCACGCGGGACTGCACCGGACGGCGGGCAGGCGGAGCCTCCTGGCTGCCCCCAACGCTTACCCGGCCCGGTCCGGTCTCCAGCCTGCTTATTGTCTGTTCCGCAGCCCTGGCGGATGCTGGAGCCTCGGCTGCCGCGGCTGAGAGCGCCGTCACCTCTGCTCCTGCCGCCGCCGCCGCCGCCGCGGCTCCAGTCACCTACTGCACTGGCTCCCCTTCCCCAGGCTCTGGGCAGCTCCCCCATGCCCCCTCCCCACGAACTCCACAGCCACAGGGTGGGGTGTCCGCGCCCCGATTGGCAGTCCTGTGGCCCAATCGCCACGGAGGGAAGGCGTGCCCCGCCCCGCCCACTGCTTTCCTCTGTGCGTTCCCTTTAAATGCAAATAAGCCTGAGCGTGGTGTTGGCAGGGGGCGGATAGGGTGCAGAACCCCTCGCAGGGACTCCCCACTCCAGCCCCCAAGCCGGCGGGTCGCTGCATGGCGACACCGTGAGCTCGCGGGGCCGGTCCCGCCCAGATAGGGCTCGCCAGAGCCCTGGAGCTCGGTTTCGGTTTTGCATGCGCTCTCATTTCCGTGGTTGCCGTGTAATCGCGCTGCAGCGCCCTGGCCTCCACCAAGCAGTTTATTCCTGAGTGAGAGACAGGCGGGGAGAGGCGGGGCGGAGAGGTTGGGGAGCTTGGGAGACTGCAGAGCCCCTTGGAACCGAGCCGGGCCCAACCTTAGGGGTAGAGAAGGCCTCGCAGCGCGCGCTGCCAGGCCGCTCAGAGGAGGGACTCACCTGCCAGGAAAGCCGATTGCAGCGCCCGCTCCTCAGTTTTGTCCGCCTCTTCGGCACACCAGGGCCCTTAGGGACCATCTCGGCCAACTTCCACCCATTACCAAAGGGCCTGCTGCTGCCCAGAGAAAGGGAGGCGCATCCCCAAGGTCATCCAGCCTGCCAACGACATGGGCAGATTTGGAATTCAAAACCTCGGGCTCCCTGTCCAGGGTTGCTTTCACTTTTCTTCTTTTGAGAGACCTGTTTCTGTAGTTTGACCCTCACCTAAATTTCCCACCTTTCACGGAACTTGAGGGGATGCCCAAGGTCTGAAGAGACAACCCTCCCTGCCCCCCGCCCCCCCACACACACCTTTTAATGGTGAGCCAGGCTTTGTGCAGTTCCCTGTCCCTGAAAAGTCTAGCTATTGAGAGAAAAAGGTTGTCTGAGCTCAGACTGGAGGTCAAGGCTGAGGGCGAACTGAGAAGGCCTGTAACAGCCCTGCTAGCTGCTGTGTCTGGGTTGTGGCAGGGGAGCCAGCCTGAACTTGGGTCTCTTAACTAGCCCAAGGGCATTAAGTGGTATTAGTGGCTGCCAAGGTCAGGTGAGCTGAGGCAACAAAGAATCCAGTTCTACCACTAGCTCAAGAATATCCAGAAGGTCCAGCCCTAAATCTCTGTGAATGCATGAAAACGGGGTGGGGGGGGATTAGAGAACAATGCCTGCCATTTTTGCACTGCAGAAGGAGTGTTCTCTGCTGCTCTATTGGGTACTGTCTGCCTTGAAAAGATCCAGCTACTAAACTGCTAAGAGAAGGGCTGCTGTCTCTGCATGTGTGGAGCACAGACACTGACATGGCTGCTAGGGCTGGGATCTGGCTTCAGCTCTTCGTCAGACTTGAAGTATGACCTTGGCCAATCCCTTTTCCTCTCTGGGCCAGTCTATCACCCCATCTCCACAAGAAGGGGGTAAGACTGGTCAAGCTCCTTGATTTCTTCCAGCTCTGACGGCTCAACTCAATTCTTTCTATAATATTTTGAGATGTTCTATGACCTTCCATGACATTCTATATATCTCCAACAAAAACCAGCAATTTGAACATGAGACCTCCTATCCTAGTCCCAGGTCTAAATAAATGGCAGGGAGAGGGAGCTGCCATTGGCTGCCTCATTATGCAACTTTGTTGGACAAGTACCTTCTCCTCTCTAGCTTCAGTTTCCATACCTGCATGGCTGGACTATTCTATTTCCCTGGAGCTGGGCTTTCCTGTTTTGCAAAGTCCTGATTCTCCACTGTTGGACCTGATTTGAAGATGTCTTTTTTCTAGTACCTCCTTCATAGGCTTCCCCACTGCCTCACGCCTCTGGTCATTTCACCCAGAACCTTGACTCTCTGAAGTAGGTCAAAGATTACAATTTGGAGAACACAGTTTCCAAATCTGGAGTGCAGGGAAACACAGGTCCAGGGCAGTCTCAGCCGTGGGAACAGGGAAAGAGGAAGTGTGCAAAGCGGTCAAATGGTAGGCTTGAAATAACCCTGAGGTGAGGGGGCACTGTTGTGCTGCTTCTGGCACAGGAGCTAGTCTTCCATGTCATCTGTCCAGCGGCCAAACATCCTGCCATACCAGTCAGCTTTGGGACTGAAAGATATTGGACATTGTTTGGGGCCCCAAAGAATCAGGGCTTCAGGAAAATGAAAGTAATCTTTCACATGCTAAAGAGGTCTCCCAGCTGGGTGGCTTTCTTCTTGGTCCTGATATTTCTAAGTCTCAGGAAGAGATTGTGTCTATGCACATTAAAGCGGAAGGGCAAGGGAGGGGTGGCACAGCTTATTGCATGTATGGCCCACTCCTCCCCAGAAACAATGTAAGGAAAGACCAATTTGGGCACAAACTTGTACCTCAAAATGCCTTCTCGAAGAGGGAACCCTCCAGGCCCCTATTCCACATGCTGAGTGACACATGATCAACTTGTTCAGTCACTATAGGGGCTGGTGGTGGGAGCAAGAATATTTTCTTAAATTTCTTCACCTAAAAAGATAACCTCTCTGCTGCCCCATGTCTTGTGGCTGCTGTGAGAAGCCCATGAGAACAGATGCGCAGGCTGTGTGAGGGCAACTCTACAAACATGTAGACAGACGGATCCACATGAGTACAATGCTCATTTCTTTCTTCACCAGAGGTTCCATGGGCCTGGCCTGGCATTGGGAGGAGTGGGGTACAGTGGTAATGTCCCTGGAGAAGGGGGCTCTGATGATAGAGTTGTGAGAGGAGCTGAAAACTAGACTAGAGGTCTGGTAAAGGTGATCTAGAGCATTGTGGATGAGGAGATTCCTTCACCCCAGGGTTGGGAGGGGCATCAGAGAAAAGTTCCATGGAGGATGGCCTTGATGATTATGTCAAGTCAGAGAAGTAGGGGAAGGATTTCTGCTCAATCTGAAGCCCAATCAGTGTGAGAGGGTGTGACAGTTTGGGCAAGAGCTAGGATTCTGGACCCCTGAGGCTGAGTATTTGTATAGGTGGAGAGGAAGAACTAGAAATTAGGCTAGAAAGATAGGTCTGGGACCAAAGTATAAAAAGACCATAACTGTTCAACTAAAGTGAAGCTTAGCTAGCTAAGTTTGTCCTTCCCAAGCAAGCAAGGGGTATAGTGTAGTGGCTCTGCTACCAGACTGCCTAGGCTGGAATGCTGGCCTCACCACTTAGGAGTGGTGTAACCTGAGCAGGATTGGTATAACTCTGAGTCACAGTTTTCTCTTCTAAAAAATGGGAATAATAATATTATCCATGTTACAGAGTTGTGGTGAGAATTAAATGAAATTCTATGTGAGTGTTTACTTAGCACATAGCCTAATATATACAAAGTTCTCAATAAATGTTAGCTGCTGCTGCTGTTATTATTGTTGTTGGTCTTCTTATGATCCAAAGTACAGATGTTCAAAGTTATAGAATTCATGATATGAGTTTGAAACACTTTTTGATATAAACACACATGAGCTTGTGATTCCTTATACACAAATTTTTTTTTTGATTGTGCAGAGCCAGACTGTTTCCCAAGGAAGAGGGTCTCTTTGTTCATCTTTGTATCCTCAGCACTCAACAGAGAGTTTAGCACAAACGTAGTGCTAAGCATATGTTTGTTGAACATAGTCAAATGAGGGATCTTCAGATCTGATATCAAGCTTAGTTGCCAGTATCCACCAGTGAGGTGTGATGTTGCCACTTTCTATCTCTAGTACCAACTCTGTGCAAAGCCCTGTGTTTGGTGTCACACACATAATGGTGAACTACAGAGCTTCTGGCCTCAGAGCAGCCAGTGTGGCGAAGGAGGCGTACAACCTATGAGACCAATGCCCTGCAGTTTCCAGCTGGGGCGAGGCACTGGAGAGTGTGGCCATCCACTGAACTAAGGAATATAGGGACAAGATTAGGAAAGTGTAATGATTCTGTTTAGAACATTCTGAATTTCCACCTCTGGGCCTTTGCACTTGCTGTTCTTTCTGCCTAAAATGTTTGTTCTCTGATACTGAGATAGTGTGTGCCTTGTTTCCTTCAGGTGTCTACTCAAATGTCACCTTATTTTAGTGAGACTGGACACTTGAAATATAAAATAGCAATTCTATTCCTAGCCCCTTTATTCTACAATCCCTTAATTGGCCTTTTTTCTTAGTGATAGCATTTTTCACCTCCTGGCTTATTATTTTTATTGGTATTTATTTATTTATTGCCATTTTAATTCTCTATTTCCCATGATGATATGAAAGCTCCATGAGGGCTGACAGACAATGAATAAAATACATAAGTAACATATCTCGTATGGCAAGTGGCAAATGGCATAGAGAAAAATAGAGCAGGGAAGGGGCACAGGGAGTATTGGTGGGAGTATGCTATTTTAAACAGGGCAGTTGGGGTAGCCATTACAAAAGGTGACACTGAAGCAAAGATCTGAGGGAAACTGAGGGAGTAAACCATGAAACCATCTGGAGAAATAGCATTCCAAGCAGAAGGAACAGCAAATACAAAGGTGAGAACATACTGGAATATTAGAGGAACAACATGGCAGCCAGTGCAGCTGCAGCAGAATGAGTGTGGGGGAAAGCGGTGGGTGAAGGGGTCAGAGAAGACATGGGAGGCAGATGGTGTATGGCTTCGTGAGTCATTTTAAAGACTTTAGACTTTGTAGGATTTTGAGCTGAGGAATGACATGGTCCTAGGAAAATGTCTAGGGAGCTAGCTGTAGCAGCAAGGGAGGAAGCAGTGAGACCTAGAAGGAGGCTCCTATAGTGATCCAGGTGAGAGGCAATGGTGGCGCAGATCAGGGTGGAGGTGGTAAGAAGTAGTTGAATTCTGAATGTATTTGGCAGCTAGAACTGGTCAGACTTGGTGATGACACCTTAGATGACAGGTATGAGAAAAAGAGAGGAGTAAGGAACAAGAGCCCGCAAAAGCCCTGAGAGGGAGGGGTTGGCAAGGTGAGATCACAGCCAGAAGAGCTGGCTCTCCCAGAAGCTATGGAAGACACGGGGTTTTGTGAAAGATGGTATAGTAAGTCCCTGACTTACAAACGAGTTCCATTCCGGGAGAACGTTCGTAAGTCGGATTCGTTCGTAAGTCCAACAAAGTGAGTCTTATACACCTTTGATACAAATATACAATATAAAGCCAATGGTTGAATGATTCATGTTATAAGAACAAGCGACGTAGAACAACTTTTCACCTCGGTTCAATCTCTGAATTATTTTCATTTTTCTTTCCATGGTTATTGCTTTGCGCTTCCTAGCAGTCCCCTCTGCATCACCACTGCTTTTCCTCTTGCTTCCGGACATCCTGGGCTCTGATTGAGCACTGTACTCCTGTACACTATCGCACTGTACAGTAAGCACACAGCAGCACGACTGTGACAATGTCCGGCAGACACGTGAGCTACTTCCGCGATTTGTTCGCATCTACGAATGTTCGAAATATGAGGTCTGTTCGTATCTGTGAAAGTTCGCAACTCGAATGTTCATAAGTCAGGGACTTACTGTATTACCAAGAGTGTATGTGAAAGATGCCGCCCAGAATTCCAGCAAGATAGAAAAGATGCCATTGGATGTGTATCTGGGAAGTCACTAGTAATGCGGGCAAGGCTAGTTGGAGCAGGAGTGAGGGTGTACACCACACTGCGGTAGGGTGTCAAGAGAACGGTCTTTGAGGAAAGAGAGAATGTATGTAGCCTCCCCGTTCCAGAAGTTTGACTGCAAAGAGACGGTAGCTAAAGGGGGCCCTGGGGTTCGGGTTTGTTTTTATAAAATGGAAGGATGTGAGCTTGTATATACATTGAGGGGGAGAAATCAATCAAGTTGAAGATACAGGAGACAGGATAACTGATTGGTGGGAGGCCCTGGATAAGAGAGGTAAATGGGATCCAGAGCACCTAGA